GCTGAAACACACTGCTGTGGGGAGCAGTGGGGCAGACAGGAGAGGTCTGCTGTGCCATGTGGGTCACTTCCATGACAGGGGAGCCAACTCCTGCTGAAGTGGCTGTGGCTAGCTTCCTAGTGCTGCTCTTTAACCAGTTGCGCCACCAGGGAGGGATTTATACCTGGATTTATTTTGTTAATAATAGTTTATTTTTACATCATTTTGTGCCTTTTTCCATCTCAGTTGTAATCCCCATGGACTTCCCATCACCAATTCACTCTTGTGCTATCACCATAGTAGTATGCATCCCCTCCCCCAGTTTTGATGCCATTCCCCACTCCACTCCCGTAAATGTTTCTGGTATATAATTGTTCATTATTGTTCCCCTCCCCCAGTCCTTTATGTTCCTGCTGAGTGAAACCATCCATATACCTTGATTTTTTTAACTACAATTTTTTTTTATTTTATTATTTTTTTTTTTTACTGCATGGAGGAGTGGGAGGGAGGGTCAGTGTTATTTTTTTTAATAATCAGATTTTTTTAAAAAAGATTTATTTATTTATGCATACAGAACTGGGGTATAAGCCAGAAGTACAGGGGCAGTGAGAGGATTCACCAGAAACAGAGTGGGGAGCAGAACAGGCAGATTGATAAGTACACTGCTGAAGGAAGCAGTGGGCAGGCAGGAGAGTTCTGCCAGGCCATGCGGATCAACTCAAGGGTGGAGGATCAAACTTGCACTGAAGCAGCTGCAGCTAGTTTGCAGTGCTGCGCTTTAACCTGCTGCACCCCAGGAAAGGCCCTGACTTTTTTTTTTTAGATTTATTTATTTATTTATGTGCACAAGAGCTGGGGTGTATGCCAGAGGTGTGTGTTGTGGGGGGATGTGGGGAAGCAGTGAGAGGATCAACCAGAGATAGAGTAGGGAACAGAATGGGCAGATCAACTAAAATACACTGCTGAGGGGAACAGTGGGTGAGACAGGGAAGATCTGTTACATTGTGCCATGTGGGCTATCTCCCTGGCCAAGGATGGAACTAACTCATGCTGTAGAGGCTGGTGATAGCTTGACAGTACTGTGTCATTAACCCCTGAGCCACCAGGGAGGACCTCTTTCTTTTTTTAAGATTTATTTTGCGTAGAAGAACTGGGATGTAGGCTGGAGGGACAGAGACAGAGTGGGGAACAGAACAGGAAGATTTTATTGAAATACACTTCTGAGGGGAGCAATGGGTGAGACGAGAGGTCTGCTGCACCATACATGGGTCAGCTCCTCTGTCAGGCCATAGTGGTGATACATAGCACTGAGATTTAACCCCTAGGCTACTAGGGAGTCCCAGAAACTCTGCCCTTATTAAACAATAACTATTCTTGGTCTCTGGTACCCTTCATTCTTTGTTCTGCCTCTCTGAATCTCACTCCTCTGGGATCCCAAATAAGTGTCATCAAATACATTATTTGTCCATTTGTGACTGCCTTATTTCACTCAGCATAATGTCTTCAGGTTCATCTGGATATCCACATTGTAGTATGTGTCAGAATTTCCTTTCCTTTTTAAGGCTGAAATCCTCTTATACAATAACATTTAATTTCTACGCAAGGATCAAGTTACCAAGCAATGTACTCACTACTAGACTTGCACAGCTGCTAACATCCTTGATAACTGCAGCTTTGGAGAAAAGAAACTTTTGCAAATCCAATTGGCAAACAGCAGGAGGTAATCTCAAATCTGCCCTCCAGGTTAGATTAGAAAAGAGATAAGGTTATAGAGGTTTTGGGGACTGGGTTTGAAAACAAAGGAGTTAAATTTTTTTTGGCCAAGGAGTAAGCTAAAGCCAAAGAAATGTGAACTCGACTGGCTAGTTACAGGACAGTTCACACATGAAGTATGAAGAGGCTTTCAGATAAACAGTTATACATTTCTGGTGGTGGGCCCTGTCCCGTCCACCTTAGGAAGTTCTCTCTGCTTCATTTACAGTCTTCTGGCTCCAGTCAGTCTGGGCATTTCACTGAAGGTTACAGACCTCTGCCTTCTCAGGATGGGTTATCTGCAGATAAACTGCATTTGTGAATACAAGCCTCAAAAAGAAAATTAGACATCTTATTATTATTCCAATGTTCTCAGGTCTAAGGGCAATTTAACTTTAGCTTTGGTTAAAATCAGGCATTCTAAACATTTCAAACACACAAAAAAGTTAAAAAGCATAAAGTAATGAAGCACTTATAAAATTTGTATACAGGCATCTTAAATAACATACAATTTTAAGTAAATTTTAAATAATTTTTAAATATTCAAAATAAGTGTCCAAAGTTTCAAAAATTATTTAAAATTAAAATTTTAAGATATTAAAAATAAAAAGCATAAAATATTATGAACAATATTTAAATACCTAAAGTAAAATACAAGAATTTTACATTTTTAAGAGATTTTATTTATTTTGTGTAGAAGAACTGGGGTGTGGGCCAGACGTGTTGAAGTTGAGAGGACTCACCAGAGACAGAGGGGAGAACAGAACAGGTCGATGTTGTGAAATACACTGCTGAACCTCTGGCCTGTACCCCAGTTCTGCTTGCATAAATAAATCTTTAAAAAAAGAAATACATTGCTGAGAGGTGCAGAGGTTGAGACAGGCAAAGTCTGTTGCCCCATGTGGGTCAGCTCCTTCACAGGGGAGGTGATAGAGCTGAGACTTAATTCCTAGGCCACCCAATATTAAACATATTTGTATTTCTATATATTTAAATTAAAATAGAATATGTAGAGTGACTTAAAGTTGAAATGTTTATTTTTTATTACATTTTTAAATCAATATAATATTTTTACATCATTTGTGCCTTTTTCATCTTATTTGTAATCCCCATGGACTTCCCATTACCAATTCACCCGGGTGCCATCACCATAGTCCCATGCACTTACCCCCTCCCCCTTTTTGATCCTATTCCCCACTCCATCCCCCTAAAATGTCTCTGGTATATGGCTGTTCATTATCCTTCACCCTCCCCCCGACCCTTTATGCTCCTGCTATGCGTGAAACTATCCGGTATTTTTCTTTTTGGGTTGAATAAGTAAACTTTAAAATTATATTGAAGATGTAGAAAAATTACACCTCCTCGTTCCGACTCAAACTGGCAGCAAGGACGACCCTCACCCCGCCCCACCGGACCTCTGGAGCAGGCAGCGCCGTGGCCAGCCCGCGCCCGCGAAGGCCCCCGCACGGCCAAGATGGCGGCGCCCTGGGGGCAGGTGCGCGGCCTCTTAGGGCTGACGACGACCGTCTACCGTTGCTCCCGTGGCTACCGAGCGCCCCCTCCCCCGCGTCGCTCGCCGGGGCCTTGGTGGCCAGATCCAGATGACCCCCTGATCCCGCGTTGGCAAATGGGACCGCGCTACGCAGCCAAGCAGTTTGCGAGGCACGGCGCCGCCTCTGCGGTGGACGCGGGGTCCCTGTGGCCGTCGCGGGAACAGCTGCGCGATCTGGAGGCAGAGGAGTGTGAATGGTGCCCAAGCCTGGCGACCATGCAAGAATCAGTGCGGCTACAGCAGCTGGCAAAGGAGCAGAAGCGTCAGGCCAGGTGTGTGCATACGAGCGGTATAGGACCCGGGGGTTCTACTGGGCGAACTGTGTCCTAGAGTTTAGTTCTTCGGGCTTTTACATGGGTTGCATTGCTGTAAATTTACGTGCATCCCGCGCCCCCCCCCCCTCCCCAAGCAAAGCCTTCTGGATTAACAATTGAGCGCCTAGTGTGTGCAAGATAGTGACAGAGAACTCTTAGATAAAAATAGAGGTGAAGAATGCCTGCCAAACTTTTTTGGGAGACCCGGGCCCTCTTAAGTACTTGATGTTTAAGTAGACTTGCGTGCGTGATCGTGATCAGACTTCGCTTAAGGGCTATGGGGTTTGGGGGGGGCGGAAGTGGGGTGAGGGCAAGGAGAGTTCCTAATACCAGAAACAGGTGGTGCAAAGGTCCTGATGTAGAAATGTCTTAAAAACTATTAAGGACGTCAGTGTGACTGGGGAGATGTGAGGGAAGAAAGTACAGGAAATCTGGATGGTAACACCTGCTAGAGGCCAAGTGGGGGAAGCAGGTTCAAGTGTGTTCCTTGTAAGTAATGTTCTTGTCTTCCCATCAACTCGTATACACACAAGAGCTGAAGTGTAGGCCAGAGGCGCAGGGGAGTGAGAGGATTCACCAGAGATAGGGTGGGAAGCAGAACAGGGAGAGGTACTAAAATACACTGCAGAGGGGAGAAGCCAGTGACACAGGGCAAGGTCTGCTGCACCATATGGGTCTGCTCCCTGGCAGGGGATGGAGTTCATGCCGCAATGGCTACTGATAGCTTGATAGAGCTGAGACTTAACCCCTTGCATCACCAGATAGAGCTGAGACTTAACCCCTTGCATCACCAGGAAGGCCTCCCTTCCCATCAACTCTTAGAGGATGAGGTGCTATTTCATCCCATCATTTCAGAGATGAGGAAACAGCTTGGGATAGTGGGAGTCACTTGTCCGGCCATACAAGCAGTGGTAGGTTTTTGCCCCATTCCAGCTAGATAACTATCAAGAAGCTTGAGTTCAAGTTTCATTTCTCTAGTCCTTAAAACGCATCTGTGGTTGGCACCACAAACTCATAGGACAAGAGAAAACGTCCAGTCATTTCTTGCTTTCACTCCCGTGCCTAGAAGTAGGCCTAGCATACAGCACATCCCTACCCTAGGGCCTCTACACCAGTTGTGCTTAATGTCTGTAGAATGGAGGAGCTGTGGGAATTGCCCCAAATGGTGAGTGGCATTCGGATGGCTCAGTAGACAGCTTAATGAAATGTCATGTTGACTTGGGGTCTGCTTCCAGGAGTTTTTGGGGCTCGTTAGTTCTTCCCCTCTTTCTTGTCTTCTAAGTTTAAAGGCTATAATAAAGTTTCCATTTCTTCATCTCCATGAGGAAGTTGGGAGAGATGGGGGTGTGATAAATGGACACTGCTCTGGCTGGGGGTTATTCTCACTGCTCACCCTACTTCCCCTGCAGGGAGCAGCTCATTGCAGAGCGAATGGCCAAGATGCCACAGATGATTGAGAACTGGCAGCGACAACAGCAGGAGCGCAGGAAGAAGGCACAAGCAGACAAGGAGCGGCGGGCCCAGCTGCAAGCCGAAGCCCAGGAACGCTTGGGCTACCATGTGGACCCACGGAGTACCCGCTTCCAGGAGCTGCTGCAGGACCTGGAGAAGCAGCAGCGAAAGCACCTCAAGGAGGAGAAACAAAGACAGAAGAAGGAGGCACGTGCTGCTGCAATGGCTGCCAGTATAGCCTCAGACCCAGCAGCCTCCGCAGCATCCAACTCCTAAGCTTGTGTCCTTTCCCAATAAAATCTGCTATCCCCAGCCTCAGAAGGTTCTGTATTGTGTGTGTGCGCCCCTCCTTGGGTCCTTCCCCAACACCTGCTGCCTGCCTCTCCTTCAGGGATGCTAGCCCCTACTGACTGACTGGGGCGTCAGTGAGGGTAAAGGAGATGCAATGGGGAAATAATGGAGGAGCAGATGGCAGAGAAGGAGGCTTCTGTTTACCAACATTAATCTCCAGTAATTAGCCAATTACCAGAGGAGAAATATAGCCAAAACAGACTGTGGTGATCATAGTGGGGGACGGTGAGTAGCAATTCTTCCAAGGCTGAACTGGGGCTTACAGCCTGGGAACAAGTCAGTTTTGAGAGAGGACACTGGCAATCCCAATATGCGAAGGCTGGCACAGCCCTCTGCCCACCTTGGCATTCCCAAGTCACCTGTGCCCAACTAGCCCCCAGTCCAGGAGTGGGAAGTCCCAGCAGGCACAGACCACAGAACTGTCTTTTAAAACTTTATTCACTTCAAAACCTTTATCAGAGACACAAGTTCTGTGTTTGGGGTGGGAGATGGTCTCCGCCTCATGAACAGCTCCGACATTACCCTTCCCAGGCAGGACAAACTAAGCCTCCTCCCCAACAAAGGGATGGAGGTTGGAGGCCAAGGCCAGACTGGGGAAGGAGACTTGGACCTCAAGTATTCACCTCAGATGGAAAGATTTGGGCCACTCCAATGAAAGATCAAAGTTTGGGGCTCCAGTTTCCTCATACCCTGGAAAAGGGTGGAGGAAAGGTCTCAGGGGCTCTTTGAAGGATGGGGAAGCAAGCAGCCGCCTCTCCATCTGGCTGCAGGGAGCTGGGACAGAGGCCAAAAGGGGCCCATCTGTTACCTCCAGTTCTGCCAGCTCCTTGGAGAAAGCTGGACTGGAGTGGGGGATGGGGGACAGATGTCTGGCAAGGGTCTTTTCAGGCCAAGATTGGAACAGGGGCCAGTTTAAGAGGGTGTAAAGTTGTTTTTTTTTTTTTTTTTTAAGGTTTTTGATTTCTCACTTCTTAAATAAACATGAATATATATATATTTTTTCTTTTATAAAACTTTTTGGAGGAGGGGTCAGGGTGGGGGGCTGTGGGTGGCCGGATCTCCCAGTCATCACTCATCATCAAAGTTCTGACTCAGAAGGAAGTTGGCAGCCAAGTTCTCGTTTTTTTCACAAGCGAAGTAGGCCTGGATCACCAGGCTCTCTGGGAAGCCAAGGGCCTTCAACTGTGGGAAGATGGGTAGGGATGAGCCCTGTGCAAGGGCCCTGCCCACCAACAGGATAACCATCAACCAGGTCTCTTACCCTCTCTATTGCTTCCTTCTCCTGTGGCGTCACCTGGATGTAGTTCATTTGCGGGGCATCCTCACCTATGGCACCCACCTCCCCCTCCACGTCTGAGATGTCTGCCAGCTCCCCTGGGGGCTCGTTCAGCATCTGGATGAACTGCTCCTGATGCCGGCTAATTTGCTGCAGGAGGTGAAGGGGAAGGGACATGACCCACAGCCCTTGTTACCTCCACTCCCCCTCCCAGTCCTTGGTTTTCCATTCACTCAGCAAATATTTAGGGAGCACCTATTCTGACCAAGAGTCATAGACACCCTCTGTGCTGCTGGAGTTGATGTTCTAGGCCATCAACAAACAAACAAATGGATAATTGTTTAAAATATAAAGACCAGGCCTGGCATCCAGCAGGGATGACCCTGGGAGAGACACTAAGGACCAGAAGGGGGACATGTGACTTATGGGATAAGGGAGAACAGATTTCTTCAGGCAGAGCAAGCAGCAAAGGTGAATCCCAGAACAAGGGTAAATGAGGAAGGGAAGGGGGAAGTAGTAGATAAGATTAGAGGAAGGTAGGAACAAGACCATTCTTTTCTAGTGCCTTCTACTAGGATAGGAAGCATAGTGATAAAAGTTAAATAGAAAGAGCAGCCACCTGTGTACCTCTGAAAGAGATTAGTTCATGTAGGTAATATAGCTTGAGGGTTCTGACATAACTCTTTACTCCTATGTTTAATAACTTTTTTTTACATGAAAGACACAGGGCCTTTGTCCTGGAAAGAAAGAACCTCAGGGGTTATGCAGAAGAAAAGCTCTTTGGCAGTGTTTGCCAGGTAAGCAGATAAGAGATCAGCTGGCAGCCAGAGGTGAAGTGAGGACTGGGTGTTGGGAGTAGGACAGGACAGGGGTGGGATCACTAAAGCAGGCACCCAAGGTGTGGGGCTCAAACAACCCCAGACTAATTCTTGCAGGAACAGGGTTAGCTGGGAGTAGGGTAGGTTAAGTGTTAAATGACTGGAAAGCACTTTCATGGAAGTGTCAAGCCAGTGATGAGCGAAAAATCTAGAGACCAAAGCTGATCATGTGAATTCAGGAGTCACCAGGGTGAAAGCCTGAGTGTTATGTGAGGAGAATTAAGTGCAGGTAAAGAGAAAAGGTGTATGTCCTGAGCTGTTCAACCTCATTAGGTGGCAAGCAGAAACCAGCACAAGAGACTGAGAAACTGGGGGAGAAACTGAGTGGGTACTGAACCTACCACACCCAGGAGCCACTGTCCCTGTGCCAAGGAGCCTTCAAGGGCAGGACATTACCTTGTGGAGTACAATGCCCTAGATAGTGTTGGGCACACTGGACTGAGATACTGCCATGCCACCCTATAGACATTTATGAATCACCAATTGTATGTGGATCCAGAGTCACAATATCAAGAAGGCAAAGCACAAGACCTAGGGACCAGAGGAATACACTCCCCCCAGCCACCAGACTGCTCCATGGTTCTGGAATCTTGCTCTGTAAGGACTACAGCAACAGTGCCCACAACTTACAATGGCTGTCATGAGTCCTACTCTGTGTATACAGAGCAACCCCTATGCGTTATGCTGGCCCAAGCTCATTCTCTGGAGCTGTAGTACTTGAAGGGGAGAGGAAGTGGTGACTATACTGGCTCTCTGCTCCCATGGCCGCACCTGCAAAAGCTGAGGGTTCTCCTGGCCCAGCTGCTGCAGTAGGGCAGGCAGGAGTGCTGGGTTCTGCTGAATCACCTGCCGCATGTTCTGGAACTGGGGCTGATCCCTCAGGAACTCCAAGGGGTTCTCTCCTGCTGGCGGAGGAAGGGATACAATTAGACACTATGCAGGGCTCCTAGATGCAGGAGTCGGGAATCAGATGCTCTCACAGCAGACAGGCCAAAGGCGTACCTCCCATCCACTCACCTGCTTCTGTGGCTGGCTGCTCAGATACCTGGCTTTCCTGCACGGAACCATGCTCTGGCTCGGGACTCCCAGGAATTCCCTGTCAGGGGTCCTATTTAGTGCTAAGGTACAGACCTCCCATTGCCTCCCTCCTGCAGGCTCAGTGCAGGAATGAGACAGGTGAGACCTCAGTCCCACCCTCCACAGGCCCACCATACAACTCATGTCCAGTGTCCTGCAGGAAGACTTTCCTAGCTGGAACCACTACTCAAAAACTGTTGAATAGATTTTGCCACCCTGACCACCCATCAGGGCTTTGAAGCCCATATACTCCCTTGAGGCCTCCCCAGGAGGCTGCAGCCCCACCTCACCGTGAGTAGATACTCCACGGCTCGGTGAGGATTGTTGTAGCTGGCTCTCAGGGCGGCCACGACCCGTTCCCGCTCATAGCCCATGGACATGATCTCCGTCAGCATCGTCTCATACTCAGAGCCAGTCACTGTGGAGGGAGCAGCAGGCTTGGGTCACCAGGGAGCAGAAAGGGGAACTCCCAGGCCCTCCCACACCCACAAAAAGGCCCAGCTGATGCTAGGGCACTTGGTTGCTTCTACCCTGGGGACCACCCACCCACCTAGCGTAGAGGCTGCGTCTTCCTCTCGCCCGCTGCTACCTGAAGAGGGAACAGAGCTGCAAATTCAAGAGAGAGAAATCGGACCCTGGCTTCTGGCGGCTTGCCCTCCCCCCAGGTATGTGGAACCACATATGTGGGCACTGGAAAGTGATAGCAGGACAGGACCCAAGCTGGAGCTGCTGCTCCCTGCCTTACCCTGACACAGACTCCGGAGACGTCGTGGGCACAGATTCCTCTGATGGGCTCTTGTCCTCTCTGGTGGTGGGCAGGGGATGGGACATTCCTGAGGCAGGGGCCAGTGGGAAGGAGATGGAGGACTCCGGGGCAGCAGTGGGGGAGGCCTCTGTGGTTATTGAGGTGCCTGGGCTAGCTTTGGCCTGTGACACCCAGAAAAAGGGAGTAGGCGTCAGTATTTCTATCTAATCCCAACATCCTGCCCTGTTTCAGCACCACCCTATTCATGTCTAATCTCTGCTGGGCAGACAGGCTATTTGCCAGTTCCCTAGCTAATCCACCCACCTTTCTAACCAGCACACTTCACCCACCTTGGTCACCATGACGACCACAAAGTTTTTCTCATCAATTCTATAGTCCCTGATAGGGACATCATCACTGAGGATCTTGCCAGCATAGATGAGTTTCTGTCCAGCCACAGGGAAGGCATCACGTCCCTTCTCAGCTTCTATCTTTTCTTTTAGCACCTTTACCTACAAGAAGGGATACAGAGAGTCATTGCAAACTTCAAGATTCTGACTTCCCCTCTAGCATGGTTATAAGTCTTGAGCTTTGTAGTCAAGCAGACTACACTTGAATTTTTTCAATCATCCTATTCAACAGAAAATTTACTTAACATATAGCCAGGTACCTTATATACCATAAAATTGTTTTGAGAACACACCAGGGAGCTAAACTGTAATACATTTCATAGAGACGACACTATCATACAAAAAGGAAAATATATCTATTTCAGACAGTGTAAATTATGAGCAAGAAAACAGAATTAAAAGGGAGTAGAAGGATTCCCCAATCCATGCTGACCTTCGGCACTAAGTGATCAGTTTTTACTATAAAATATACTGAGTTAACAGCACTATCATAAATGTAGCACACTTTCCAAGCCTTACAGTGCAATGACATGATGGTGGCCTCATTTTATATTAAAGGACAAGGTGAGACAGAGAGGTTAAGTGACTTGCCCTAAGTCAAACCGTTGGGTGGTGAAAAACTAAGCGTTTCCATTTCAACAAAAAGTAGATTTCAATGTATCCCTCCCTCATGGGGTAGTTATGCAAAATGTGCCCAGAGCATAGAAAAGCAAAATGTTTGTTTGGCCCTAAATCTGTTTAGCTAAATAATCTGCTTGTTTAGACCCTGGGATCTCAAATAAAGCAGAACCTAATCTGAAATAGCCAATATTTGCTGCTTATGATTATACCAAGTTCCTTAACCTTCTAAGTTTTCACATCTGCAAACTGGGAAGCGTCTGTTTCTTATAACAAAAAAGACAGCTTTGTAGAGTTAGCAAGATCATACTGAAACGCTGGGCGACTGGTAAACGACAAATGGTCAACAAACAGACCACTGAAACTCAAACCACCTATTACCATCGTCGCCCGCATCATCCGTCATCTCCTCTTGGTACTACTTCCAGCTTCGGCTGACAACCAAAAAACGCTTGCAAAGCTGGGCACTCGGAGGCCCGGTCTCGAAGAGCGCGGCCGCGTCGGGAATCTGACCCTGTGGCTCCCATGCCTCGCGAGAGCTCTGACATTGGAGCCAGGGCCTGGCAGGTGCCCCGGAGTTAGGGCTTCGCCCACAGATCGTCCCAGGGGCATTCGCCAAGCAGCAAGAGGCTGGGCAGGTGACTAGCCGGGGGTCTGGGAAAGTGTGGCAGGTGGGAGGGGAGTTGGGCCGGGCTCGGGTGCGCAGTCCTCCCCGCCCCTCCCATCAGGATTCCGGCCTCCCCGCCCCCACCCACCCCAACACCAGTCGCTCCCGCCTGTAGCCTCCGGCCCAGCTCGCACCGTCTCGTCAGGCTCCATGCGAATCTTGAAGGTCTGTTGCTGCAGCGTTTTGAGCGTGATGGTGACGGCCATGGCGAGGCCCAAGCGACACGGCGGCCCCGGGTCCCTCACACAACATGCAACTCACGCGGCCGCCATCTTAGCGCCCAGTCGCGCTGCGCTCCGACCGCTTCCGGGGCAGGTGGTGCGCGCGCCGGCCACCGGTGCACGTGACCCTTGTGCTTCCTTCCTCCTCCCTTGACCTTCGTAGGCATGCGCACCGGTTCGTCCTCGGACCAGACATGCGCAAACTAAATTCTACCAGGTGGAAGTGAAGAGAATTTCTCGCTCGGAACGCCTACCCATCACGTGGTTTCCTTAGGGTGACGCCACTCTTGGTAGAAGAGACGTCATGCCGCTGCAAAATGGTTTCTTTGTCCCCACTTTAACACCTACGAGATTGCCACTGGTGAATCCTCTCAACCCCCCCAACTTCTGGCCCGTACCCCGAGTTCTTGTATGCATAAATAAGTCCTTAAAAAAATATTTTTTCATGTAGTGAGCGGCCTCCTTATGGCACAGGCGTTTAACCTCAGCACTTTAAAGCTTTTGGCAGCCACTGCAGTTTGATCCCGAGCCGGGAAGCTGATCCACGTGACAGGGACCTCTTCTGACTCACTAGCTGCGTCCCACCCCAGCTGTGTATTTCACTATATCTTCCTGTTTTGCTCCCTATTCTGTCTCCAGTGAATCCTTTCAGCCCTCTGCACCTCTGGCCTACCCCAGCTCTTATAAGTAAAATTTTTAAAGTATCTTTCTTCTTTTTTTATTAAGATTTATTTATTTATGCATACAGAACTAGGGTACAGGCCAGAGGTGCAGCGGCGGTGAGAGGATTCACCAGAGAAAAAGTGGGGAGCAGAACAGGCAAATCGATGAAGTACGGTGCTGAGGGGAGCAGTGGGCGAGACAGGAGAGACGGTGTGGACACTTTCAGAGCCAGGATACTTTCAGAGCCAGAATCAAACTCGCCCTAAAGGAGCTGGGGCTAGCTTTGCAGTGCCGCACCCTAACCCCTTGTGCCATCAGGGAGGGCCTAAATATCCTTTTTCATGTAGTTGCTGTATTTGTATTTCTCGCATATAAGCAGTATCCACCTTTTCTACACATTTCAATTTTGTTTTATTGTGACCCAGTCATCTTTACAGGGATGTGTCAAGCTCTGAAAATGTATATTATTCAAAACTGGAAAGATTAGCAATTTGATAAAAGAAAAATAGTTTTTAAATGTCCCTGGTTGTGTCGTTTATTGCTGCTTTACTTACAATAGAAAAGACATGGCATCAACCCAAATGCCCAAAAGTAGATGACAGGATTAAAAATATGTGGTACATATACACGACGGAATATTACTCAGCAATCAAAAAGATAAACACATGCCTTTTGCAGCAACATGGATGGAACTGGAAGGGATCATGCTTAGTGAAATAAGCCAGTAGGAAAAGGAAAAATATGGGATGGTTTCACTTATAGCAGGAGTTTAAAGCACCAGGGGAGAAAATAATAATAACTAAATACTAAAGACACTTGGGATCAAAACTAGGGGGAGGAGATGCATGAGGCTATGGTGATGGCACACAGGTGATATGGTGATGGGAAGCCCATGGGGATTACAACTGAGATGGAAAAAGGCAGAAAATGATGTAAAAATAAACAATTATATTATTTTTTAAAATCCATTAAAATACAAAACAAAAAATGTCCCTCATGGTTCAATGGGTTAAAGCACTCAATGAAGCTATCTGCAGCCATTGCAACAAGAGTTCAATTCCTGGCCAAGGAGGTGACCCACGTGGCATGGCAGACCTCTCCTGACCCACCTGCTGCTCCCTTCAGCAATGTATTTGCCTGTTCTGCTCCCCACTCTGTCTCTGGTGAATCCTCTCACCTCCATACCTCTGGCCCATACCCCGAATCTTGTATGCATAAATAAATCAATCTTTTTAAAAGATACATAGAGCCATTTTTGAATGGATTTACTGTTTTAATTACTGGATGTCCCAGTTGTCTGCTGCTCCTTCTTTCCCAACTTTGTTCATTATCCCCATTCTGACTCCAAATACATTTAAGGAATATGTTAGCTTTCAAGACTTCTTTACATTGAACACATTAGCCTAATCTTTCCCTAGATAAACCAATCTGAAGCACCTAGAGAACTTCCAAGAGGTGGGATTGGGCTACAGAACACAGAAGGGAAGCTTCCTTGAACCAAGGAAAGAACTTGAAAAGTTAGATCTCCAAAGCTGAGGAAGGGTGATTTCGAGAACTTGGTGTTGACAGTTTCTCTGAGTCATTGTGTAGAGGGCCCTCTCAACAAACTAGAAACTAACTCCTCTAGTGGTCACCTGGTATCCCAGCCATTGCTCAACTGTAACCAGGTTCTGTTTCTCCCTTGACTACATGCCTTCAGCCTGGAGGTTTCCACCAGAATAGCCTTGCTTCAGTTGGGAGAAGTCTTACTTCTGTACTGCAAGCAGGAACATCAACTCCAGGCTACCCACTCACTGTACTTCAGGGTTTGCCTTCTTGACCTCACCAGGTTTATGACCTCAAAGGATCCCGACGTCTGCTCACCTTTCCTTTCAAAATGTTTGAATTGGGGACCTCCCCAGTGACACAGGGATTAAGGACAGCACTATCAAGCTATCACCAGCCACTGCAACAGATTCCTCCATTCCCTTCCCACCAGGGGTCTGACCCACATGACACAGACCTCTCCAGTCTTGGTGGCTGGTATACAGAATTTTAAAAAGTTTGGATTATGGGCCCACTCTGGTGGCATAAAAGGTTAAGCACAGTACCAGCATAAAGGGTTAAGCTATCAGCAGCTACTGCAGCAGAAGTTGGAATTCCTGGCCAGGGAGCTGACCCACATGGCATGTCAGATATCTCCTGGCCTACCTGCTGTGCCCTCAGCATTGTATTTCAGTAAAACTGCTTATTTATTCCTCTCCCCATGATCTCTAGTGAATCCTCTCACCCCACCCCACCCCTCTGGCATGTTCTTGTATATATAAATTTTTTTTAAAATGTCTGAATTGTAATTCAACTGACAACTGAAAACCACAAGTAAGCTTGGTAACATTTCTAAGCCTATTTCCTTGACTTTAAGAAGAAAAGGTAAATTCCTTTTTGTAGAACTGTGGTGTAGGACAGAGATGTAGGGGATGGGTTCAACAGAGCATGCAGCAGAACAGGCAGATCTAAACACACTGCTGAACAGAGCAATGAACAAAAAAGGTCTGCTGCACCATGTGGGTTAGCTCCCTGGCTGGGGATCAAATTCAGACTACAGGGTGCTAGCACTGAGACTTGACCTCTAGGCCCTTAACCAGGGAGGCCCAAGAATAAGACCAAGAATAAAAGGTTAACAGCATATAATACCAGCTGGTATTGAAAAAACGTTTGTCTAATTGTTCAATGTAGTCTTAAAGAGGTGCTTGTGACTCAGTGTATAATAGATTGTATGAGACCCTAAGGTGTGGACTAAAATCTCTGAATTCTGCAACTATCTTATATAACATAAATGATATTAGAGGCCAACCTCAATTTGTTGCAAGAACTCTGAATTAATGAGTTACTACAGTATTTGCAACGATATTTTTACAATACCATTCCTCTTCTCCTTGGGGGTGTTAAGTAATCAAGAGCCTATAACTTTATGGGACACTCAGCCAGTGTTTTAGTAGGTTTACTCATAAGTGATCCCCAAAAAAGTTCACTTTTGATTCCCTGATGTCTATTCTTCCCCAGAAGGAAACATAGAAGGAAGACACAAAACTTAATTTAATAGAAATTTTGTTTGTAGTTCTTACATTCTCAGTATGAGCTGAGATGGAACCCTCTGCCCCACCCAGAAGTGGCCCAATCCTAGGTGTAGGGGAGAAAAGGAGGTGGGGGGAGGGGATGTCAGCGCTCAGGTCCCTAGTAGCCCCATTCTTCCTCAGTGCTGGGGGGGGGTGGTGTCGCTAGAGATGCCACTTTCTTCTGTCCCCCCCACCCCCCTAATCCAGGTAGGACAGTAGATTTAACCTTGGGCCTGGGACTTTCCATATCCCCATATACAGCTCCCCATTTTGGAGGGGATCTAAGGAATCTGGAGAGCAGTAGGAAGGAAAAGTATGGAGGAAAGCAAAGATGTCAAGAAAAAACAAGGGACAGGGGTAAAGGCTGAGTCAGATAAAACACCAGTAAAAAAAAAAAAAAAAAAAAAAGGGAGTGGAAGAGTGGAAGGGGTGGGTGGCTAGGGAGGAAAAAAACCATTATCCACCCCAAATCAGAACCCGCCTGGAAAAAAAAGAAAGTTCTCCAGTCTCATAGAGACATTATTTGGCGCAGCCAGCTCTGCAGCAGGTGTGCTCAGGCCTTAGTCCAGCCCTGGAGGCGATGTGGCCCCTACAGCTCGTCCTTGGCCTGGCCAGTGGCAGCGTCTTCTTCCTCCTCATCTTCCTTGTCATCCTCCTCCTCCTCATCTTCATCCTTGTCCTCCTCATCCTCCTTGTCTGCTTCCTCCTCCTCCTTACGTTTCTTATCTTCCTCCTCCTCTTTTAGCCTTTGTTCTTCATCCTGCTTGTCTTTCATCTGCTTTTCAGCTGCCTGTGCATAGAGAAACCACAGACCTCAGGACCTGGTCCCTGCCTATCTATTCCCAAGCCCAGGAGTATGGCCCAGCCTCACCTTTGTGACACCCCAGGTCTCATTGCCAAACTCCTCAGCATAGGCTTCGTCATTGGTGATAAGGAAGTTGTCAAAGATAGTGCCAGATTTGACCTGTGGGGAGGAGACACAGGTTGGGGCGGGGGTACCACAGGGAGGTTAATGACCCTGATCTGGGACAGGGTTCTTACTTTCATTCCCATAATCACTATGCAATATCCAATTGAGGTTGAAAAGCCTAGGTTCAAATCTGCCTAGGTTCAAATCTCAGCTTTCCCATTTCCTGCCTCTAACTTCACATTCCTGTGCCTCATGTTTCTTCATCTGTAAAATAGGAACTCATTCTTTTACTCAAATATATTTCAGTACCTAAGTACCAGGCAGTTCTAGGCAAGGAAGTATGTCAGTGAACAAAACAGGCTTGATTCTCTTCAAGCCAATTTCCTAAGGGAGTTCTCTAATTCACTTCTAGGTTGCTA